CAGCCCCTCGCTACTCATCTGCCTTCACCATCGCCGTCGCCACCTTCTTCTTCACTTGGCTGGCCGTTTACCTTCTGCCTTCACTTGGCTGGGGTCGTCGATGGCGTGGGAGATGGTTAGATGATTCTAGGGTTGGATTAATGGAAGCCGAAGGGAGATGGGTTTTTGTTGGATAAGGGTTAAAATAGTAATTTACTATTATTCAGAGAACAATTACCAAACAACATTATTTCATTCAGTACTTAATTATTCTGACCCTCTTAACCATTTTGACCTCTTAACTATTCTGCACTAAACCATTCAGCAACTGTCAAACAACCCCATAGTCGCATCGTATCGTATGTATACCTAAAACATTAATTTGAAAGCAGGTTGTAGAAATGCAAAATAATTTGTTTTGAAATAAATAAAGCATCATAGGATGAATGGAGATCGGACGGCTGAGGTTACAGCTACCGACAAGAGTTGAATACAACCCAGAGGCTGCACAACACGTGTCTCCTCTTGAAAATGGCACTTGTGTAATAAAACTAGAACTTGGTGACCGCTTTTAAATCCCAATACTTAAACTTCATTATATATATATATATATACTCTCTCTCTCTCTCTCTCTCTCTCTCTCTCTCTCTCTCGTCTTCTCTTTCGCCAGGAGATAAAAAGAAAAATTAAGAATTAAAAATAAAAAAAATAAAAACCCCTTTTCATTTACCATCCTCAAATCTAGGGTTCCTTTCTCTCTGCGACTCATCAGCTCATCCAGGTATCTCTTTCTTCTTCTTTGATTGCTTCCTCTCTACTGCTACTGTCTTTTCCAACTCTATCACTTGTTTTTCGTTTTAGATTCATCCCMCTCTTTTTTTTTTTTTAAGCCAATTCCTCCTACTTTAGGTTGCAAATCTACCTTTCATCCATGTTTCATATCATCTATGCTATGCTTGCCAAAATTATCAGTAAAAATGTCGTGATTTTGCAGCATGGAGAGCTATTGGCAATTGGGGGATGAACTACGAGGCCAATCAAAGGTCTCCGAGGATCAGAAATGGTATGCAGCTGCTTCAAGGTTGGCTGAACAGACAAGGTTAAAGGGTGAACGAAGGAATAATCTAGATCTTTCAAAATTTTCTGCCGACACCACAAGGCCCAGAGAAAATGTTGAAGAAAACAAATTCGAAAGCCTCAACTTCAACATGTTAAATCTGAATCTCGACATGAAGATGACCGATAACATCCACAAAAACTCCCTTCGGAATGCAGTCTATCACAAGGGAAACAATAGAATTATGGAGAACATGACTAGTGGTAAGTATCCTGGAAACAGTCACAACAACAAGGATCTCAACAGCAACAGCAACAGTAATGATAACAACAACATCATCAATGCTGCTGACAAGAGATTTAAGACCTTGCCTGCTGCCGAGACCCTCCCTAGGAATGAGGTTCTGGGTGGATACATCTTTGTCTGTAACAATGACACTATGCAGGAAGATTTAAAGAGACAGCTGTTTGGTAATTCTCCACTATCTTCGACCGGTTGATGTGGATTGATTTGTCATCTTTTATGCTGAGCTGTGCTCATGTGTACTGTTGTGCAGGTTTGCCACCAAGATACAGAGACTCTGTTCGAGCAATTACCCCTGGATTACCTCTGTTTCTGTATAACTATACCACTCACCAGCTGCATGGTATTTTTGAGGTGTGTTTTCTTTTTCCTTTTTCTTTTACAGCTGTGTCCATCTGAAAGAAGTTTTGTCTGTTTTAGAGAGTAGATCTAGGAGCTTCTGTTTGTCCTTCACGCGTGTCTTTTTGTCACTTGAAAAGGGTATGTGTGGTTTAGGTGATGAAGGGTCTAGATAATTTATTTTTTTCTTAGATCAAGTTTTCAATTGTGGATTGGCCTTGACGTTGGTTGAAGCATGTATGTTATTGTTTGTGTAGGCAACAACTTTTGGTGGTTCTAACATTGATCCAACTGCTTGGGAGGACAAGAAATGTAAAGGTGAATCTAGGTTCCCTGCTCAGGTAAAACATGAATGATCTGACTGAGACTGACTGCTTAGTTGTGTGTTGTCTGGTATATTAATTGAAATTGTTTGTATTGAGTGGAATCAGGTGAGAATTCGTATAAGGAAAGTGTGCAAAGCATTGGAGGAAGATGCCTTTAGGCCAGTGTTGCATCACTATGATGGTCCTAAGTTCCGGCTTGAGCTGTCGATCCCTGAGGTATGTCCCTCTACAAGCATTTTGGTTATATTAGTAGTAGTATATGTTGAAGGTGATGGAGGGTTTGATGTATGAATGATGATGCATTGCAGACCCTGGACTTGCTAGATCTTTGCGAACAAAATGGGGTTTGAAAGATGCAGTGGCAGCAAGCAAGTGTGTGTTGTAGGAAAGAAGGAGCAAGCAGCAAGCATTTTCTTCCGTAAAAGCGCAAGCTTGGGTGAAGTTGTTTTTGAATAATGAATATGAATGTTGGCGTTTGTGTGAAGAAGAAGAAGAAGAAGAAATTATTATTGTTATATATCTCTTGTTGGTAGGTTTAGGTTTGTGTTTGTGTTTGTGTTTGTGTTTTAATTAATCAAATGAATAGCAGCTGCTGCTAATGCTATGTGTTATGAAGAAGATGATGAATTAGGAGATATATAACTTTACTTTTGTGTGTGTGTGTGATGATTTATTTATAATCATGTTTGGTTATATTATTGTTTAGTGGTTAGTGGTATCACATGGGCTGATGGCATACTATCCCACCACATGCTTGCCTACCTGCCCATTGCCATTATTATTTCCTAAATAAAGAAGATGCAATTTGGCAACCAAACACAAAATGGAATGTATGGGATTCTCGACTTCCTTTTTCTTCTTCTTATAAAACTAGTTGTCTACCTGCGCAATGCGGCGGGATGTAAAGGTTCTATCAAAATATATCCAACTGTTAAATATTATTTTTTGCAAAATCTGTTTGAAATAGTTGAGGTTCACATCTCTATCAAAATTCAAAAATGAAAAATTAAAGAATATGAAGCCCCGTCTTGGAAAAGTTTGGGCCACAAAATGTGCTGCTAAGGGGTCGTTTAGGTAAACTTATTAGGTAAGCGCTTAAAATTTAACACTATCATTTACTTACAGATAAGATTTTAGTCCATCAAAACAATATTGTATGCAACAAATTATCCGGTAAGCACTTAACGTACCAGGTAAGATTCTTGGTCCTTATCATATTCATCAGGTAAGGTAATGTGACTTGATAAGCGCTTACCCAAGTAAGTGTTTGGTAAACAGCACCTAAGTGTAACTCATTGTGATATAATCAGGTGAAAGAAAGAGATTGTGATGCATAATTACTCAAACATTTGTTTCTCAGCTAGATGAACCTTTGAAAATATTGATGTAAGATGTATAGCAAGAACCAAGAATCCTACCGTGTAATTGAAGGAAAAGACTTACCCGGTTAATGCTTACTGGATAATTTTTTTGTAAACCATCCATTTCAATGGCCTAAAATGTTTTAAAATAAGTGAGAGTGGTGATTCTTGACGATAAGTACTTACCCAATGTTTACTTGTGAGGGAATTGTAGATACTCGACAGCATAGCAAGTATGATACTTACCCGGGTAAGGTAACTGACACACTCTAAACACTTACCAGATAAGTGTTTAGAAACATCACTCTTATCTTGGTATAAATAAGCATTTTGTAACCTGCTATGAGGCAGGGAGTTCATTCCTATTTGGTTCTTCATTTGCTTCAATAAACACTTYTTAAAACCAAATTGACTATTGATRGTAAAGAATTAAAGATTCAAACTCTAGTCAGTCTTCAATCAATAAGCAACCCAGATGCCACCATATCATTTGAAATATTCATTACCCAGAATAAAATCACAGAACTACCTACGCATTCATGTTGAAATCCAATTCATCCATCCCTTTTCCTCCAAAGGACTATGGGTAATAAGAGATCCAGAAACAAGACATAATAATAAAATAACATAACATAACAGCATGATCAAAAACTGAGCAAGCAACAACAAAATGCTACAAAAACAAAACCCTAAACCCCCAAAATTCTAACCATGTTTTGCTTGGAAATCCTTCTTGAAAGCAACCAGCTTCTCAACACCAGCCAAAGGCATAGCATTGTATATCGAAGCTCGCATTCCACCAACCGATCGATGCCCCTTCAGTTGAACCWTCTTCTCTTTAGCAGCTTCTWTCACAAACTCAGCTTCCAATTCCGATTTCTCAAGCGTAAAAGGCACATTCATCAACGATCTCACCGATTTCTCAACCGGGCATCGATAAAACCYTTTACTCTCATCAATTGCATCATACAGAATCTGAGCCTTCTTCACATTCTTCTTCTCAACCTCCACCAAACCACCCGGTGCCAACAAATCCTCAAATGCACATGCATGTCAATGTGTGAGATAAAAGCATAGAAATTATGCAGCATTTATTAAATATCATACAACCACCTAAAAAGGTATAACTGCAGCATTTCATATCGACACTTATGCTGTCAAGTTCAGAGTTATGGCAGAATATTGATTATATGTTAAAAAAAAAGCAACATATGGTTCTAGAATACGGTTATTATTGTTGTTAATGTAGTATGTGTGTACAAACATATTAGATCCAGAGTTGTTAATGCAGAAACAAAAGTTCAAAACAATTTTTTGTTTCAGATTTGTTATTATACATTATACATTCAAGATTTCGACAACAATTTTGTATTTACATATTTCAATCAAAGATGATTGCGCAATCATGTTAAGGGGCTGTTTGTTTGCCTCTTAATGGCGACATTAAGAGGCTGCCTCTTAATCGGTAAGAGGTGTGATGTGTTTGGCAAAAAAAAAACCCCTCTTAATGGTTACACAAACCTCTTAACCATTTTGAGGGTATGAGCTCACTAAACCATTCAGATCATCCTTTTTCCATCTTTACCCTTCCACACAAAACAGCCGCACATTTTTCAGCAACCCAAGTCGGCGCCTCYCTCTTCTCCGGCGAAGGTGTCTTCAGTCGCCGATTCCACAGCCTCGTCGGTGGCCGGTTGCCTCARCTACTCGTCGGTCGCCGGTTTCTTCACCATCGTGGGTCTCGATTGTATCAGGTTTGTACTTTATAGATCCTATGTTTTTTCTTTCCTCATCTTCATCGATCGTGTGTTATACATCTTCCTAGGTTTTATATATTTTTTGGTATTTGCTTTCACTATCTGTTTACAATGTGTGGGGTAAACAAGCCCCAAACAAGCCACTTCCCCTTCTGTCTACAGCTAACTTCAAGAAATGCTTCCTCTCTCTGCAAATAGTCACCACCTCCTCTTCTTCTTCTAACTTTGTAGCAACACAACCCATAATGCACCCAAAAAAGCAAGTATAAAGAATGAGTTTTGAAAGGAATCAGTGGATGGTTTTACAGACTTTAGAAGAAAATAATCCTTTGGGGGGTTTTCATAGAGGAAAAAACAAAGGGTTCAAGAAAGTGTAGATTTTTAAAAGAGAGTGAAACAAACCCATTTTTAAACGGAGATTTCAACACTCTACGGAGACTATTCATAGACACTTTCGTGAAGTGCTACGAGCAATGATGAAATTTGCAAAAGAAGTTATACGGCCGACATCCTCTGACGAAACGCAAAACACATCAGAACGTCAAAGAAACCTGAGACAAATATTTCCGGTATGTTTTCTATTATATTATGTAACTGCAAC